AACCCCAAACACGCAGGTGGCTCAAGTTCGAGAGGTTCCCAGCTCTGCGCCATGCCTCCCCAGCTGACCCCAAATCCGCCAATAATTATAATTTTAGGGGGTCCCAGATCTGGGGCCATCCTTTCCTGGCTGACCCCAACCCCAAACTTGCAAACCCCAAACCCCAAATCCGCAGGTGGCTCAAGTTTGAGAGGTTCCCATCTCTGGAGCCATCCTTTCCCTGCTGACCCCACCCCAAACCCCAAAATCCAAACCCCAAACCCCAAACCTGCAGGTGGCTGAAATTCGAGGGGGTCCCAGCTCTGGGGCTGCCCTTTCCCAGTTGACCCCAAACCCCAAATCCGCAGGTGGCTCAAGTTCAAGGGGTTCCCAGCTCTGGGGCTGCCCTTTCCCAGTTGACCCCAAACCCACAAATAATTAAAATTTGAGGGGGTCCCAGCTCTGGGGCCATCCTTTCCCAGTTGACCCCAAACCCCAAACCCACAAATAACTAAAATTTGAGGGGTTCCCAGCTCTAGGGCTGCCCTTTCCCTGCTTTCCCCGCCCCAAACCCCAAACCAAATCCAAACCCCAAACCCCAAACTTCAAACCTGCAGGTGGCTCAAGTTCGAGGGAGTCCCAGCTCTGGGGCTGTCCTTTCCCTATTGACACCAAACCCCAAAATCCAAACCCCAAACCTGCAGGTGGCTCAAGTTTGAGGGGTTCCCAGCTCTGGGCCATCCTTTCCCCGCTGACCCCACCCCAAACCGCAAACCCCAAACCCCAAAAGCGCAGGCGGCTCAGGTTCAAAGGTGTCCCAGCTTTGGGGCTGTCCTTTCCCAGTTGACCCCAAACTCCAAACCCCAAACCCACAGGCGGCTGAAGTTCAAGGGAGTCCCATCTCTGGGCCATCCTTTCCCTGCTGACCCCATGCCAAACCCCAAAATCCAAACCCCAAACCCCAAACCCGCAGGTGGCTCAAGTTCGAGGGGGTCCCAGCTCTGGGCTGCCTTTCCAGCTGACCCCAACCCCAAGCCCCAAACCCACAAATAACTAAAATTTGAGGGGGTCCCAGCTCTGGAGCCGTCCTTTCCCTATTGACCCCAAACCCCAAACCCCAAACATTCAGGTGGCTGAAGTTCGAGGAGGACGTGGAGGACGGCGGCGAGCGCTGGAGCAAACCCTACGTGGCCACGCTGTCCCTGCACAGCCTCTTCGAGCTGCGCAGCTGCATCATCAACGGCTCCGTGCTGCTGGACGTGCGCGCCAACAGCGT